CATGAGGAAAGAAATCACCTATTGGACCAACACCGCCCTCAACTTCCAGGCAACTCAAGTGATCAGCAACTGAATTTTCTGCCCCCTTTTTATCCTTGATTTCAAAATTGAATTCTTGTAACAAAAGAATCCAACACATCAAGGGGGGTTTTGCCTCTTTCTTTGCCAACAAATAACGCCAGGCAGCATGGTCAGAATACACAATAAATTTGGCACCTAACAAATCACAACGAAATTTATCTAAAGCAAAAACAATAACTAAAAGCTCTTTTTCTGTGGTTGTGTAATTTCGTTGTGCAGAATTCAGTGTGCGAGAGGCATAATAGATCACATGAACACGTTTCTCAACTCTCTGGCCCAACACCGCACCAACTGCATTGTTGGTCGCATCGCACATCACTTCAAATGGGAGGTCCCACCTTGGTGATTGAACAATAAGGGCAATGGTGAGTGTAGTCTTCAAAGTATCAAATGCCTCCTTGCAAGCATCATCGAACTGAAACTCAACATCCTTATGTAACAGATGGCATAATGGTGAGGCTATCTTAGAGAAATCCTTGATAAACCTCCTATAAAAACATGCATGCCCAAGAAAAGAACGAATTTCCTTCACAGAAGAAGGATAGGTTAGATTTTGAATAATATCAATTTTGGCTTTGTCAACTTCTAAACTCTTACTGGAAACAATGTGACCTAAAACTATACCTTCCTTCACCATAAAATGACATTTTTCAGAAATAACGTCTAGCACATCAACGAAAAAAACAACATGAACATCACTCGGATAACGCATGGCCTCAAAAATATCAAAGCGTAATATATTCCCATCAAACTCCATTGTTAAAATCCCCTTGAACACGTCAATCTGTGTTCTTGATGTTCTTAGAAATGGCCTTCCAAGCAAAAGAGGAATCGGTGTAAGGTCTAGTTCATTTTCTTCCATCTTTAACACAAAGAAGTCTGCTGGAAAAACCAGATCACTTACCTGCACCAAAACATCCTCAACCAGCCCCTCAGGATACACGTTGGACCTGTCAGCCAGTTGTATAATCACACAGGTCTCATTTAAGGCAGTATAAACCGAGTATGGCATAACATTAATGGATGCACCGAGATCACACATAGCCTTCTCCGACCTCTTTTTACCTATAGTAACAGGAATAGAAAATGAAACTTTATCCTTGCACTTCACAGGGAGCTTCCATTGGAGTACGGCAGAAACATTTCTCATTTAGGCTTACTCTTTCATCCCCTCTAATTTTTCTTTTGTTTGTGCAAAGTTCCTTTAAAACATTGCATACCGCGGAACTTTCTTGATTGCATCAATGAGAGGTATGTTCACTTCCACTTTCCGAATACTATCCCAAATATCCTTTTCCAGGCTTTCTTTATGTTTTTTAGCTAACCTTGAGGGAAAAGGAGGGAAAAGAACATTAGCATGTACAAAGGAGTTCGCCTCTTTATCATTTTTAAGCTTGCAAACGGGGTCATTTGCCATTGATTTCTCTTGATCTTGCAGCTGGGGTACATCTGACTCATCCTCCAGACCACTTTTAATCACTGTCTCCTTCTCTTGGTCGAGCTAAACTGACACCTTTGTGGCTTTGTTTTCACTCAAAGTCTTGCCCTTACGAAGAGTGATGGCATTTGCATTTTGATTTGGGTTCATAAGCTGTTAAGGAAGCCTGTTAGAGAGATGGGACTCGAGTCTACTCATAGATGTAGCTAGCTGATCCACCTGCGTCCTTAAATCTTGCATTCCCGCTCTAGTTTCTTGCTCAAATTTCAGTTTTTCTTGCTTTAACTTCAACTGTCCGTCCACCAGCTTCTGCATGATAGCCTCAAGTGTAGAGGTTGAGTTCTGATTAGGAGCTCCAGATTGAGAACTCCTTGGTCCAGGCATATATTGCGGATGATATTGAAAAGCTGAGTTGTTGTTATTGCCATAGCTCAGATTCGGGTGGCTCTTCCATCCTAGATTATAGGTGTTCGAAAAAGGATCAAACTTGCGTTGTAAAGAACCAGGAAACCCTATTGCATTAGCTTCTTCTGTCTTCCCTTGAAGCAATAAAGGACATTGATCACTATAGTGAGCATTAGAAGAGCAAACACCACACATATTTTTAGTTTGCTGCAGGTTTATTTGAGTCATCATCAACGTAGTGAGCTGCGAAAGTTGCTGATTTGTGGCAGAAAGTTGTGGCTCAAGATTTGAACTTGCTATCTCGTTCACTTGCTTAATGCCAACATCTTGGTGCATGCCAAATTGATGTGAGTTAGCAGCCATAGTATCCAGGCCTCTACCGGTGTTTTATCAATGAGGGCTCCTCCACTTGCAGCATCAAGCATCACTCGATCAACAGGTAGTAGGCCCTCGTAGAAATACTGAATCAACTGAACTTCAGTATATTGGTGGTGAGGACAAATCTGCCATAATTTTTTAAATCTCCCTCGATATTCATAGAGAGTCTCTACAGGCATTTGCTTGATTACGCAAATCTCCTTCCGCAAAACCAGTGTACGGGTGGCTGGAAAGTAATTCTCCAATAACATTTTCTTCATATCATTCCAAGAGGTAATACACCCGATTGGCAAGTAATATAGCCAATCTTTAGCTACACCATCCAATGAGAAGGGGAAAGCTCTCAACTTAATGGTGGAACAAACAACATGGAACTCCTTCAAATGCTTGTGTGGATCCTCTCCTGTTAGTCCATGAAACTTAGGCAGGACTTGTATTAGGCCTGATCGAAGTTCCAAGGCAGCCTCAAGATCTGGATATTGAATGCAAAGCGGTTGATTGTCCAGGTTTGGCACTGCCAAATTCCTTATGGTGCGGTTCGCATCATTAGCCATTGCTTCACGTTCTGCTGAGCGGGTTCTCCTTGTTTGAGCGTTCTGTCTCCTACAAAATAATTCAATTTCAAGATTCAATGGTGCTTCAATCTGTAGATAGACCCTCAGTTCTTCTGGTCATGCACTATCTCAATCTGTATATAGGCAAATCCTTTAATAATAAATTCAGCACAATGAAAATAAATAAATAAAATAATATAAATAACTAAGACTATAAACAACTTGATTTTTTTATATATAACTAGTAACTTGAGAGAGAAGTAGCTAATCTACTTAACTCCCCAGCAACGGCGCCAAAAATTTGGTGTGTGTCGTTTAACACAAAAATAAATAAACTAAACTAACACGTAGATGTGGAAAGTTCAGGTCGATCCCACAGGGAGTTTGGGTGATTAACTACTAATTCTCAAGTTATTAGAATCAAATAATTTTAAAGCAAAAGAAATTCAAAATGCAAAGCATGTATAAAATAGGTTAAAGTGTAAACGGAGATTTAGATTATATAAATAGAGATTTCCAATCCCAATTTTTAACTCGGGTAGGTTTAATCGATCATTGACAAAGGAAATTTATTCATCATAATAGTTGGCGTAGATTAATTGCAAATGCAAACTAATCTCCAATACACCTTTTTATACCTAAAAGCGACAAACGCCGTCAATTAAGTCTAATTGATGCCCAATCTTATAACAAACGTTTAAGATTCAAGGTTCAATCGCATTAATCTCTTTGAGTTTTAGCCAACACGAATAATATTTCCCAATCGGGTGATTATTCAATTCGTATCTATATTTTTCTAGATGGTTCGTAAGCACCTAGTTACTACTATAGTGAAACCTCATTTCAACAAATCAGATTTCAACTAGCAATAAACTCACAATAATAGTAAATAAGTATGCATCCAAATTAACTAATCTCATGAATTCAACTGAGATCAATTCATAAAAATATAGAATACTATGGCAAATAAATCATTAAGTACAAAAAATCTCACGAATTAAACTACAGAGTATTAACTTGGAATTGGAAAATTAAAGGTTTAGCTACTAGTATTCATCTAGCAATGAAAACAGGGCCGGATTAAAATAAAAATTGCAGAATTTAAAGATGGAAAAACTGCCCAAAGGATGAGGATTGGTTGCGTTGCTTTCTGGTGTGTGCCCCCTGCTCGTTTCTCCTCTGTCTTGCCCTCGCTGCTGCGTTTTTTTTCTTCTTTTATTCCTTCCTTTCTTGCTCTGTTTCTTCTCTTCTTTTCTCTATTTATTTTTATTACAGCCGTCTTCTTCGGGAATGTTCATCTCTGATCGAAAATCACTCCTTCCATTGGTGTAATCCCGAAACTTTCTCAACTGATCAAAACTGATATGGAAAGTCTCGCATCAGCTTTTGTCTCTTTCCTTATTTCTTTTGCTTCTTTCTGATTGGGTGCCTCTTCCTTAGCCATGTGACTTTTCAATTTTGTTGCAAGTCAAGAAAAGAATCCTGATCCAACTTAATGAAAGGCACGTGCAGTAGGTTAAATCCTGATCCAACTTAGGAAACTAAATTAGTTAAATTAGTCTAAAAGCTGTTAAATGCACACTAAAAAATGACATGCTCCCTTTGATCACTTATTAAAATAAAATAAATTAAGAGCTTAATTACAGAATAAAACACTTATTGAGACCTCTTGAATATGTAAAAATAGCAGCAAATAAATTCCCAACACCTGGGGAGAAATCTCTTCGATGAGAAAATTTTGACGAATTGTCAAATTAAGCAATCTGTCTAATTATGGATTCCAATCACTACGACTAAGGTTCTCATCAATGTGGATACAATTTAAGTTTTGCAATTAGGAACCCATTGACTATGATTAGGGTTTTCGTGATGGAAACTAAAGTTCTAATGTTGCATGGGCCATCGGGTTTTGTGGGATTGCGCGATTAGGTTTATAATGCTTTTGATGAGTACCTAATTTGATTAAAGTTGAAAGTTACTACGGTGGCTTTGATGATGATAAGTGTGGAAGGTGATCACTAAAGATCGATAACCACTAATAGGGCTTTTATAATAACAGTAGACGATGATATCTATCATTCACACCGACTATGCTGGTGACCGTAGGTGGGGTGTAGTAGGCGACCGTGAGTGGGGATACTGGATTACATTAATTACTTTTATTTTATTTTTTTTGAAAGGGAAACTGCTTATATTAATATCATCAGGGTTCGGATCGTTACATCAAACTCAAAGACATCCATACTGACAACCACAAATTCTAACCAACTATCACTATCAACCCTAAGGCTAGACATAGAAACGACCACCCTTGAAAGAGCGATACGAATCGCTAACCACCAAACGGATATCCAGCACTCACTGGCTATATCGATCCTTATAACAATATAATATCTAACAGAATTGTCCCTCATTATTTTAGGCCTAAAACTACAGAAATTAATAAAAAACAGAACAACGTAATAAAGCAAAACACTAAAAGACACCCATAAAAAATGTAATAACTGATAAAAACTCCAAACTCTTTCTCAAAACTTCATCTTCCACCAAAACTTGGCCTCTCGATCTTTCCAAAGTGGCGGTTCTGGAGGGGTCGAATCATAAACTCATCATCTTGTTTCTCCCTTTCCCGAATCTGGATTTCATTGTGCCAGATCTGCCAAAACAACCGCATCAGTCGCCTTCCCAGCCGTTTGGAGTTCAAATCAGTCCCTTTCTTCAAGCTCGAACCCATCATTGTACCTCCCGGATAAAAAACCACGGGTGTAGTTTCCATCTCAATGACCAATAAGGCCAAGATAACCCATCCCAGCATCGATTTACCACGCCTCGCTACCTTACTGGTCTCAAATCCGCAGCCTCCTCCTGAATCGATGATCGCCAAAGACAGTCGGCCATCGCTGTCGCCCTGCTCCATGTCGTTTGTCCAATAACACTAAATCAAACTCGTTCGGTGAAGTTGTTGTCGACCGAGACACCTGCCGGAGTCCTGGTGCTTCAATTCCTCGTGAGCAGTCCAGGTGCTTCGAGCGAGACGCACACGCCGTGCGAAGAGAAGAAGAAAAAACGCGGACGATGAATATCGCCGCCCCAACCCTAGGCACGAAGCCTCCCCCGTCCACTTTAGAAGTTGAAAGAGTTTACATTTTGAATAATTACTTCTTTTTAAAAAGTAATTATAAAATACGGGGTAACAAATGGTATATTAAATAGAGGTAATTTATTGATGATTTACTTTTTTTATAGTTGATGAATTACTTTTTGAAAAATTAAAGCGTGACAATTTGAAATGTAATATAGATGTGCCGTTTGTTCTTTAATGTAATTAATTAATTACGAGTATATTTTTGAACTTAATGCTTTATTTTACTAATATGAGGTTCAACTCTTGTAGACAATGAAAAATGTTGTGTGAACCAACAAAAGCAATGGCAAACCAACATTACATATAAAAATAACAGCCGCGCCGTCTGTGGGAATCGAACCCACGACCACGTGGTTAAAAGCCACGCGCTCTACCAGCTGAGCTAAGACGGCTTCGTTGTGAGAAAACTGTGTCATTTATCTTTAATCCATATAATACTACACCCTACAAATAAAATATTTTGCATTTTTATCATGGGACTGTGAGAGTGTAACAAATTGTTAAATGTTAACTAGTATAATACCGTGTGTACGCACGAGAAAGAGAAATTGGTGCATATATATATTTTTACTAATGATTTAATTAAGTATTAAAATAAAAATTACTTTTTAGGAATCTTCATTTTCAAAAAATAATAGTAGTTCAATAAGCTAATACCATAAAATATAAGCCCATACAATATATATTCAATGAAGAGTATATTAGGAAAAATTAATTGACACTACTAATTTGAATTTGCTACTTATTCATTTTCATGATTAGATTAATTTTAAATTAAATAATATTCTAAAAATTGAGTACAATAATTGAGTGACATAAAGTTTAAGCGAATACAATAAACATTAAAATTAAAGGATATTAGTTAAATAATAACTTGTCATTCATTAGTAAATTTAACATATGTGAGAGAAAATTATCATGCTCAATTCTTAACCGCCTTATCTTGTTATACCTAAAACAACTACATATGAGGAAAAATTCTCCCACTCAATTGTAATTAGTCAGATTATCTTATCTTATACCTAAAAGCATTATGTATGAGATAATAAATTATACTCATTATATTAATTGTTAGGTGGCTTATCTTATCTTATACTAAAAGAACTACATATATGATAATTCTCTCGCTCAATTGTTAGCAACTTTATCTTCTAATACCTAAAAGCACTACATATGAGAGAGAAAAAATTTCCATTTAGTTATTAGCAAGTAAGCTTATCTTGTTATATCTAAAAAGACTACATATGAGAGATAAAATTCTCTCGTTCAATTATTTGTCGGCTTATGTTATACTTAAAAGCACTGCATATGGAAGAGAAAATTTTCAATCTCAACGGTTAGCCGGACTATCTTATATACTTAAGAAGCACTACCCGTGAGAGTGGAATTTCTCTCACTCAATTGTTAGCAAGTGTATCTTCTTAGCTTCTTCTTATGTCTAAAAGTACTACATATGAGAGGGAAAATTATCTCGCTCAATTGTTTAGTCTTCTTATCTTATGCTTAGAACTACAAATGAGGGAGAAACTTATTACATTCATTTGCTACCAAGCTCATCTTCTAATACCTAAAAGCACTACATGTGAGCAATAAAATTTCCCGCTCAATTCTCCTTCTCAATTCTTAGCAATCTTATCTTCTAATGTCTAAAAGCATTACATATGAAACAAAAAATCTTCTCGCTCAATTATTAGTATGCTTATTTTTTTTTATCTAAAACTCTTACATATGAGAGAGAAAGTTCTTGAGTTCAATTGTTAGCCGGATTATCTTATACTAAAAAAGACTACATATATGATAATTCTCCCGCTCAATTGTTAGCAACTTTATCTTCTAATAACTAAAAGCACTACATATGAGAGATCAAAATTTTTCGCTTAATTATTAGCAAGGAAGCTTATCATGTCATATCTAAAAAGACTACATATGAGAGAGCAAATTCTCCCGTTCAATTGTTAGTCGGCATATGTTGTGACACCGCACCCGAACGTCCTAGAAATTTAAATTTAATTTCAAAGCTTATGTATTGAATTTCCCTATTTTCGAACGATTGTAAAACGATTAAAGTTTTACGGAACATATGATTTATCATATTACTATTTGGGCTCATATAATGATAATGGACTCCTAAATAATTAATTGGGCCATATTATTGATATTGAGGCTCAACATCCTTAAATAAAGATATACAACCCCTCAGTACAATGTAAGTGCGGTCGAGCAGCCCAAATGTTATTTTGGGCCTAACCTGCTAAAAATAGTAATTTGTCAAGAATGGCATCCTAGACCCATTGGAAGGTGACCCACACGGTTGGTAACCCAGATACATAAATATTAATATCATAATTGAATGATAGAATGATTGGAGAAGAATACAAATGCATTTGGTCCCATCTTTGGCATTATTAGGCTAAATAATTTGAGTAGGGTTTTCTTTTGTAATTATACATCAAATAAATTATTGGGACCACCCTACACATATTAGAGACCAATAATATGATGTAGAAGGTTGACTTGATCTAAATAAATTGGGGAGAGTACAAAAGTACATCTTATTAGGGGAGAGCGTCGGACGGGTTCGGGTAGGACGGGTTGGGTTTTTGCATACCCTTTCGGTTATCGGGCTGAGAATATAAAACCCTACCCCGTCCAAAAAATATTTCAGGCTAATCGGGTTGCACAATTTCGAATTTGGGTCGGTTTTAATCGGTTCTCGGGGCCATTCGGGCTGATTAACATCTATTAAACACATAACACAAATAATTCATAAAATCACCTTGAAAAAAAAATGTTGGATTAGACTTTACAAACACAAATAAAATACATAATAATATGTTATCAAAAGCAATTGCAAAATTAGTAGAGTTTGTACAACTCCAAACACATGGCTAATAGTTATAAGTTTATAACTTATACACTTAACACTTATACACTCATACATTCATACACATTACTCCAATACTACTTGGTACTTACTTATACACTTACACAGTTATACTGCTTATGCACAAAGCAGTTTAACATTTAGAGTTTGAGCAATCAAATGTTCCAAAACAGCAAGTACCAACAAAAAGTTTAACAACATTCAATTGATGTACAAGCATTCAGATCTTGACTCTTGACATCTACTTGACTACTAGTCTACTAGAGTGTTTCCAGAATTCCAGGTTTCATCAATTTCGCAGATCATCAACCAAACATTCATTGATTTTGTTCCTATGTAAGTCACAAACACATTAGTATCATAAAACACTTAACTGGGAAGTGTTTAGTGTCATTATTATCATTATTATTTTCTGGGAACTTGGGAAGTGGGAACTATAAACAATTCAAAAGTATATAGAAATACAATAAGATTTGGTTCAGATTTAATTTCAGTTCACTAATAATGGGGGCATTAATCACTATATAATTAGAATCAACACCAAACTCATTTATTTTATATTCTGGTAGAACTGTAGAAGGCTAGAAGCTATCCTCATTGCCAAAATAACTAATTGAGTAAACAATTCATGTAAGAACTCATAATTCATAAGTACATAGGAAAATTGCAGTAGTAAAACCAAGGCAGGAAGCAACATATCCTTAATTTGACTCAGTTTTGTATTCTTAATTTAATTTTTTTGGTGGAAACTATCATTACTGATTAAATAATGCAACAATTAATCTAATAAGTCAGAAGTCATAAATACATATGCATAAGCAAATTCCAGTTTACTGTCTAAGTGGCAACATGTATGTTGTTATATTTGGCTCAGATTTAAATTGACTTCACTATTAATGGGGGCATACGAAACTATATGGAAATAGAATCAACACCAACCCATCAATTTCATTTTTGGTGGAAGCTATCATCATTGCCAGATACATGCTACACTTAATCAATTAACTCAATGTTCACATTACCAAATTCCAGTACTTCCATTAAGGCAACATGTATGTTGTTATATTTGGCTCAGATTTAAATTGACTTCACTATTAATGGGGGCATACGAAACTATATGGAAATAGAATCAACACCAACCCATCAATTTCATTTTTGGTGGAAGCTATCATCATTGCCAGATACATGCTACACTTAATCAATTAACTCAAGAGTGAAAGAAGATTACCATGTCTTGTTGTGCAAAGTACAAACACAGTAATTAGGAGAAATTGTACCAATGAATCAACAACATTTCCAATGCCATGACAGCAACATGGTTAGGCTTTTACAACCAGATCATTGACAGAAGCATATATAGCAAATCATTAGTGAAATAATATATTACATATCTAAAAGATAAAGGTAAAAAGTATACTACTAAAAACAATAAGAATTTAACAATATGTATAAATATAAACACTGAATATTAAATAAGTAAAAGTTAGTACCTGTTTCCAGCCTTTCTACCTCCTCAATATTTTCTTCAACTGACACAGGCTGGTTTGACATCCTCAACCAATCTTGAGCACATATGAGTGCTTCTACAATTTTGGCACTCAAAGAACTCCTAAAACAGTCCAACACTCTTCCACTTGTACTAAAAGTGGACTCAGATGCTACTGTGGAAATAGGAACAACAAGAATGTCTCTTGCCATCTTAGATAGGATAGGAAGCCTCTCACCATTAAGCTTCCACCATCTCAGTATATCAAATTCATTGTCCTCCTCAAGAATGTTCTCACTCAAATATAGTTCAAGTTCATTTTTTTTCAACCCTAAGAGGCCACTATCTTGTTTTTGCTTTTTCAATTGGGCTTTGAATTTTGAGACAGGCCTACTTTCAGTTGACTCAGATTGTAAAGAAACAGAACTGGGGCTTAATTGAGAGCTTCCACTCACTGAAACATCATAGTTTGTAACATAATCACCATACAACTCATTCAAACCCAGCTTTATCTTTGCAAAGAATGCCTCACCTATCTTATCGCCATACAAAGCATTCAATTGATGTGGCATGTACTCATATTTGTCTCTAGGGTCTAGCACATTTGCAAAGAAAATGAGCATGTTCATTTTTTCTGGATCACCCCAGTACTT